AAATCTTGGGTGCTGGGAATTTTCCAGGTGCAAATGATCCCCATGGATAATGGGGGGTACGTTACATGTTACATGCCGCTCCAAAGGGAGAATTCAATGGCCCCAGATACCTCTTCTCCAGCAAATCAACACCCAGCAGAGCAGAGATTGTAACACCAAATTAACACTAGACCAGCGGTCTCAACCTATGGGTCGCGACCCCATTTGGGGTCGACCGACCATTTTACGGGGGTCGCGAAACAGCGCGATCCGCCATTTCCCCCCCCCAGGGGGCGGCGCCACGCATGCGCGGCGCGTCCGTGTGACGGGCTCACTGTCACACGAAGATTGAGAATCGCTGCACTAGACAAACAATCAAGAATTAAGCCATGCCCCAATCAAGGACCCCTCAATGCAGACAAACAACCTCACAGTAAACAACGGAAAGCTCCAAGACCACTCTCACCAACACTGACAGGGCAAGCCACGTGCATAGAAACAGAAAGCAAACCCCACTCCTTCTAGCACTGATGATGTTACCAAGTTGGATAATGAAATGTCTGCAGGAATACTTTGCAAGCTCAGAGAGCGCCACGGAGTTCAATCCTCCTCCTCCTCCTTCTTCTCCTCCTCCTCCTCCTCTCTGTAAACCCCCACTCCCCTCTAGCACTGATAATGTTATCTAGTTAGGTAAGGAAAGGTCTGCAAGAATTCAGCCAAAGTCAGAGAGCACGAAGGACCCCGCAGTCGTCGTCCTCCTCCTCCTCCTCCTCCTCCTCCTCCTCCTCCTCCTCCTCCTCCTCCTCCTCCTCTCCTTTCTAGTACTGATAATGTTACCTAGTTGGGATAAGAAAAGTCTGAAAACAACCAAACTCAGAAAGCATAAGGACTCCATAGTCGTCGTCGTCGTCGTCCTCCTCCTCCTCCTCCTCCTCCTCCTCCTCCTCCTCCTCCTCCTCCTCCTCCCCTCCTCCTCCTCCTCTCCTCCTCCTCCTCCTCCTCCTCCTGCATCCACTCTCAAACCCACTTCCTTCTAGCACTGATGATGTTACCTAGTTAGGTAAGGAAAGGTCTGCAAGAATTCAGCCAAAGTCAGAGAGCACGAAGGACCCCACAGTTGTTGTCGTCCTCCTCCTGCTCCTGCTCCTCCTCCTCCTCCATCCCCTCTCAAACCCACTTCCTTCTAGCACTGATGATGTTACCTCGTTAGGTAAGGAAACGTCTGCAAGAAAATAACCCAGCTTGGGAAGCACCAAGGACCCCATCACAATTCAACCTTGAGCTACAAATATTCTCTTCCATTGGTTTCCCCGTAGATAAGGGCAAACCTTAAAATATACACCCTCCTTTTCACGTCTGTTGGGCTTCAGACGGGGTCCCGTGGTTCTTGGTCCAGAGGACTTACTATCTCTAGGAAGCCAAGAACCATTGAAATCAGCCTGGGCAAAGAACCGGCCTCCAAGTTGTGTTTGTTGTCTGATCTTTTCACTTCCTTCCCCTGCTCAGCCCACCCCCCACCCCCCGCGAGGAGGCTGCACCAGGGAAGGAAACCAGAGTGTGCTGAACACAATGGAAAGGAAGCACTTGGGCTTTGCTGCGATGTGTAATGCTTTCCAGGCTGCAAAGTCACGAGGCTGTGGCAAACAGTTGCGCATCAAAGCAAATGCCACAGCAGATGCCCGTGTGCCTGGCTGCCCAAGATGGAGGCTTTGGTAAGGACCTGCCCAGTGGTGGGATTCAAATAGGTGAACGACCGGTTCTCTGTGTGGATGCTGCTTCCGGAAGTCCATTCTGGGCCTGGGCAATAAAAAATTAGCTACTGATTTGGTGCGAACCGACTGAATCCCACCACTGGACCTGCCTTTATAAGCTGATTTACAGAATAATATAGATACAACAGAGCTGGAAGGGACCTTGGAGGTCTTCTAGTCCAACCCCGGGCTCAGGCAGGAGATTCTGCACTATTCTGGACAAACAGTTGTCCAGTCTCTTCTTAAGAACCTCCAATGATGGAGCATCCACAATGTCTGGAGGCAAGCTGTTCCACTGATTACGTAATTGTTCCCTGTCCAAAAATTCCATATTACCAGGTCGAATCTCCCTCTGACTTCCACTCCCAGAATTCCCTAGCCAGCATGCTTTAAGATGGGTGGATCCTAGAATCATAGGACTGCAAGAGACCTTGGAGGTCATCTATTCCAACCACCTGCTCAAGGAGAAAATCCTATAACAGGGGGTCTTCAAATTTGGCCCTTTTGTAACTTGTGGACTTCAACTCAACATGCCTGGCTGAGGAATTCTGGGAGTTGAAGTCCACAAGTCATGAAGCGACCTTAGATCCTCCATGCTGGCTGAGGAATTCTGGAAGTCCACAGGTCATGAAGGGGCCATAGTTCCCCCATGCTGGCTCAGGAATTCTGGGAGTTGAAGTCCACGAGTCATGAAGGGGCCACAGTTCCCCCATGCTGGCTGAGGAATTCTGGGAGTTGAAGTCCACAAGTCATGAAGGGGCCATAGTTCCCCCATGCTGACTCAAGAATTCTGGGAGTTGAAGTCCACGAGTCATGAAGGGGCCACAGTTCCCCCATGCTGGCTGAGGAATTCTGGGAGTTGAAGTCCACAAGTCATGAAGGGGGCCATAGTTCCCCCATGCTGGCTGAGGAATTCTGGGAGTTGAAGTCCACAAGTCATGAAGGGGCCATAGTTCCCCCATGCTGGCTGAGGAATTCTGAGAGTTGAAGTCCACAAGTCCGCAACAACTTCAATGACTCAACAAGAAAAGTCACAAAATGGGGCAAAGCTCATTTAACAAATTTCTCATTGTGGCTATAAGGCAAGTTGTTCCACTGATTAATTGTTCTCACTGTCAGGAAATTTCTCCTTAGTTCTAGGTTGCTTCTCTCCTTGATAAGTTTCCATCCCTTGCTTTTTGTCCTACCTTCAGGCACTTTGGAGAATAGCTTGACTCCCTCTTCTTTGGGGCAGTCCCTGAGATACTGGAACACTGCTATCATCCTTCTCTTTATTAAATCACACATACCCAATTCCTGCAACCGTAGCTGATTAATCATCACAGCTGTTGTTTATACATATTTATTTTGTGGCTGTTTTTATTGTTTTAATGCCTTTTAAATTGTTTAGAATGTTTTACAATTTTGCTTGGTTGAGTTGGGGGCTGTAGGATTTGACAAAAACAAATAAATAATTTTGGCCATCTCTTGAGGCCTTACCGCTGGAATTTGGAGGCCAAATAACTATATTCCAGCAATGTGTGGGGAGGGGCGAAGGACAAGGAATAAAAACAAACAAAAATAGAGTTAGAGCAGTGGTGGCGAACCTACGGCACGGGTGCCAGAGGCGGCACTCAAGAGCCCTCTCTGTGGGCACGCTAGGCCTTCAGCTGGGTTTTATAAAACCTTTTTGCTTTAGGCCTCCGCTGCCATGTGCAAAAAAAAAAAGGTTCAATCAATCACTCAATTTCAACTTCTCGCGGGAAAAAAAAAGATCTTGCAAAGTTGGAATTGATTGATTGAACTTTTTAGTCCCACCCAGTCTGCCGTGACCACCGCAGCCACGCCCAGCCAGTGGGCCATGCCCAGCCAGCACCCAACGATGCATAAGTGGGTTTTGGGTTGCAGTTTGGGCACTCGGTCTCTAAAAGGTTCGCCATCACTGACTTAGAGCAAATGGATCACCTGTTTCTAAGAGCCCTGGTGGTTAGAAGGCAAACTCTGCCCATAGTTAGGAGTTTGATCCTGACCGGCTCAAGGGTTGACTCAGCTTTCCATCCTTCCGAGGTCAGTAAAACGAGGACCCAGATTGTTGGGGGCAAATAGGCTGACATTTGTAAACCGCTTAGAGAGGGCTGTAAAGCACTGGGAAGCGGTATAGAAGCCTATGTGCTATTGCTAAGAGTAGTTAGCATGAGGCCTCTGCCTGGGACACCATCTCACCCCATTTCCTGCCTCTGCCCCCCCTCGCCCCGAAAACAAAAATAAAAAGGCTGAATTGTGCAGTTAAACGTCAGGAGCAAAACCACTTTTTGGGTCACGTGGTTTTGGAGTTTGAGTGAGTTGGCAAATGTAAGACTTGGAGCCGTTTGCTCTCCAAAGGATTTACAGTCTCGTTCCCACCTTTAAAACCCTCCATGAACACCAACATCTGGATTAAACATTTCATTACACCAACATCTGGATTAAACATTTCATTCCGGGGACATCTGATAGTTGTTGGGGGAAAACTGCTATCGCCCACAGAGCAAAGGAAAGCAAATGCACACCATTCAAACATCCTCAAACACAACACATTTTCAACTCAGAAGAAACATCTCTGGTTTTTAACTATGATGTACAGCAGGTCTTTTCAACCAGGGGTACGGGTACCACCTGTGGTACATTGGCACCTGGCAGGTGGTACGTGACCATCCTAGAAAAGTGGTAGCGGGGAAGGGGAATGAGCTGAACCGGTGGCAGCACTGCACAAGCCTGACCGAGAGACGGCTGGAGCTGCAGGGCTGTCAGGGCTCAGCGGAAGCGCCAGGATCGGCGTCAGGCTCCAGCTGGAGCTCAGCGCTGATCCTGGCGCTTCTGCTGAGCCCTGAAGAAGCACCAATCAGCTGGAATGTTGTAGCATCTTCAAGGTCTTGTGATTTACCTTCAGATGCTTGGCAACTGATTCATATTTATAACGGTCACAGTGTCCCAGGTAATGTGAAGTGACCAAAACCTGCTGCAACCACCCAGCAGATGGGGGGGAATAAAAATCAAACACCCCCCCACCCCACCCCACCCCCGCTGCCAATCCTCAATAGAAATGCTCACAACAATGAAAACCTCGGACAGGAGGAAGAGCGCCACTGGATGGGTAGGCAGGTGCCTTGCTCGGCTGTGGCTTGGGGGGCACTTTTTTCAGTGCCATTGTAACTTCGAACAGTCACTAAGCGAACCGTTGTAAGTTGAGGACTACCTGTACTTGATCACTTTTTTCCTTTCTTTTTTTGTCATCAAGTTTTTGACACCTTGCTAGGCGACTGTTGGTACTCGGATGCTGCCATATCCTAAAAGTGGCACAATGGGTGAAAAGGTTGTAAAGGCCTGATGTACAGAACACAGAATAATGGAAGGGACCTTGGAGGTTTTCTAGTCCAACCTCCTGCTCAAACAGGAAACCCTATAAGACAGTGATGGCGAAGCTTTTAGAGACCGAGTGCCCAAACTGCAACCCAAAACCCACTTATTTATCGCCGGTCCCAGGTGGGCGTGGCCCACTGGGTGGGCGTGGCTGTGGTGGTCATGGCAGATTGGGTGGGTGTGGCCAAGGTGGGCATGATCACCTCAATGTTGCTTGTGGGGAGGGAGCCTGTGGGGGCCGGGCAGGGTTGGGGGAGATCCAGGGGGTCTCTGGCAGGTGGGCGGTGGGCAGGAGACTCATCCTGAGGGGTGAGGCGAGGCAGGGCGGGGGTGCCATTGTCGCAGGGCAAGATGAGGCAAGGGCTGGGGCTGCTGCTGCCTGACATCATCGGCCCCCGCACACAGAGGCCAGCGAGCGCATGGGGGCCGACAGTGTCTGTCAGCAGCCACAGCCTGCCAGCCCGTCGACCGGCGCATTCGGGCTCCACAGCCCGTCCCCAGCAGTTCAGAGAAGCCGCCTCTGAGGTGGACGGCTGGCCGACAGCTGAGGAGGCGATGCAGTGGGTCATGCCTGGGAAAAGGAGAGCACGCGAGGCCAGGAGGGATGGGATGGGGGGGGGGGGAGGGAAACAAGCCATGCTGGGATGCATCCGGCCACGTGGGACCTCGGCGAGTTAGCAGGCGGCTGGTTGAAGAAGGACAGTTGCCATCTCTGGGGCATGGTGCGCATGCCCACAGAGAGGCCTCTGAGTGCCGCCTCTGGCACGCGTGCCATAGCTTTGCCACCACTGCTATAATGTTTCCTCCTTGAGCAGGGGGTTGGACTAGATGACCTCCAAGGTCCCTTCCCGCTCTGTTATTTTGTTGTGCTGCTGTGTTGATGTCCAACCTTCCTACCTCCGCTTCCCAGTTTGTCGCCCGCCTCCTCTGCCCGAAATATTTAATAAAAATAATAATAAAGTTGGAGGGGACCTTGGAGGTCATCTAGTCCAACTAGGTTTGATCCCTCCCTCCCCCGACGCGAAACACGGAACTCACCTGAATGGTCTTCAGACTGGTTGAACCCGCAGATTTGGCAGATGCTCCTCACCCATTTGTTCATTTCGTCCTCCGTTTCGGCCACCAGGTAGAAAGTCCTCTCGCTGGTCTTGATGTCAAAGACGAAACTGTCCTGCAGCTCCTTCTTGTTGAAGGTCAACCCGGCGTCCACCTGTTCACAAAAGCTGAGGTTGATCACGCGCAGAGGCTTCTTGGAGTGATTGTTTTTGTAGTACTCCAGGACGTCAGGATCGCCGCTCATCCGGCCGCTGCGAAGGATAAACCATCGTTTCTTCCAGGCCTGGAAGACACAGAAAAAAAGAGAATTGAATTTGAATTCTTGGAAACAGAAGCAACTGTCTCAGGATTGGTTACAATAGTCCAGGGGTAGGCAACCTTGGCTCTTTTATGACTTGTGGACTTCAACTCCCGGAATTCCTCAGCCAGCATGGCTCAGCTTGGAAACCTTTCCCTTTCCCCTCAGCATGGCTGGCTCAGGAATTCTGGGAGTTGAAGTCCCCAAGTCATGAAGCGGCCATAGTTCCCCCATGCTGGCTGAGGAATTCTGGGAGTTGAAGTGCAGCAGTCATAAAAGAGGCCAGGTTTGAAGACCCCTGCTCTAAAAGAATACAAATGACCAGCTGTCTGCAAGGAGTATAAATCCTTCCATTTCCCTGACCATTCAATCAGAACCTGAAGAAGCTTCTTGGGATGAGAAGCAAAATGTCTTCAAAGAAAAACAAGGCAGTCCAATTGCCTCCTGAAAAAAAGCACCTTTGGGACAACCATGATCTGGATCAGACATGGCCGGCGAAGCCATCCTGGAAACTGAGGGAACGGCCCCCGCTGCCTTGGCCCTGGCCCAGGCCGGCCGGGAGCCAATGTACAATTTTGTGGTGGCCATCTGTGCTGAAACGCATTCAGTCTTAGCTCCACGAGGCTGTCTGGAAACAGCGAGGAACCAGCCCCTGCTGCATTGGCCCCGCTCCTGGGTGCATGCTGGGGAGGTGTCACCCCTTTGTGAGGAATGAAGAAAAGCACCATGCCTTGGTGCTTGCCCCGGTCCCACCCCCTTCTGCCAGAGACCCTCAGATCTGTCCCACTCCTGCCCAGGCCCCCACAGGCACCCTTGACGCGAACAATGTAGAGCTGGCCACGCCCACCCAGTAGGCCACACCCACTCCATCCACGCCCACCCTGGCCACACCCACCCGGCCCCCCAAGGGCAACCGCAATACTGATGCGGCCCTCAATGAAATTGAGTTTGACACCCCTGACCTGGATGATGTAGAGTCTCCATAGACCAGTGTTTCTCAACCTTGACAATTTTAAGGCATGTGGACTTCAACTCCCAGAATTCCACAGCCAGCAATGCTGGATGTGGAATTCTGGGAGTTGAAGTCCACATGCCTTAAAATTGTCAAGGTTGAGAAACACTGCCATAGACGTTCTTAACATGTTTTAGTCTTCAGGTCTTTAATCATAAATCCTCCATTTACGACCCAGATTGAGCCAAATTTTTCCGTTGTTAAGCGAGGCGGTTGTTGAGTGACTTGCACCTGACTTTATGATTGTTTCTGCCACAGTTTTTAAGTGAATCACTCCCGTTGTTAAGTGAATCTGGCTTCCCCCATTGATTTTTCTTTGTCAGAATCCAGCTGGGAAGGTTACAAATGGTGATCACAGGACCCCGGGACAGCGCAACCGTCATAAACACCTGTCAGTTGCCAAGTGTCTGAATTTTGATCACATGACCCCTGGGGAACGATGCAACGGTCATACGTGTGAAAAACAATAAGTCCCTTTTTTCGTCGTAACTTTGAACAGTCACTAAATGAATGACTGTAACTCGAGGACGACCTACATTGCTCTTGTCATTACCCAATGAAATGCCGGGCAGCTGCACCCAATCACATCCATTCTCATTTGCATAAAACTATAAAGGGAGAGGGTCTTCTTCCTGTTTTTAAAAAATCCTGTCTCTTCTCTAATGTTGTCAAAAAAACATTTTGTGTTTCCGTGTCACCTGTCCATTGTCGGAAATTTTTTCTCTTCCTTTCAGATGTCGTCATTCTTTGTTTTTAATTGGTTTTTTTTTTTAAATTGGTATTCTGGAAACTGCCCAGAGGTATAAACAGATTGGGGCATCTTATTAACTTCTTAAAGAAATCAATAAGCTGGCCAACACTTGAGGCCGGAGCGCTACGCCCAAATCTTGCGATTTTCCTCCTGCTATTTCTTCCTCTTGGAGAGAAACTCAGGGTCTCTTTCAGTAAACGAGGAAGAGGAAGGGGAACAGACGCTTCCCCGGGTCAACAGATGTAGTCCTCAACTTACAACAGTTCATTTAGTGACTGCTCTAAGTTACAACGGTACTGAAAAAAACTGACTTACCACTGTTTTTCACATTGACGACCGTTGCAGCATGATCGAAATTCAGACGCTTGGCAATTGACACGTACTTATGACGGTTGCAGTCTCCTGGGGTCATGTGATCCCCTTTTGCGACCTTCTGACGAGCAAAGTCAACGGGAGGGAGTCAGATTCACTTAACAACCATATTCCTAACAACTGCAGTGATTCACCTAACGACGTGTCAAGAAAAGTCTTAAAATGGGGCAAAACTCACTTCACAAAAGTTTCACTTAGCCACAGAAATCTGGGGGGGGGTCCGTTCTGGTCGTACGTTGAGGAGTTCCTGTAGTTGTCCTTCTCCAATGGCTAATTCTGACATTCAACATTATCGTTAGGGCATCATTGCAACTTCAAGAGACACAGGTGACAAATCCACCCAGTTTTGAGTGATTTGTACTTCAGCAGAGGAGGGGATGACACTGTCGGTCGCATCGGCTGCAATTTCGGAGACAAATAAATCACAGCAGGAGAGAAAACATCCAGAGGACTTGTTTTGAAGCCTGTTGGCTGAAATGTGTGTCAAGAGATGCATGCTAATTCATTTGTGTGTCCTAATACAGCGGGGATTGTCAAAACACATTATGGGTTTATGCGGGAGCTGCGCGCGCCTGGGAATGATTCAAAAGAGCTGCTTTGGACTTGCTATTAATTAATACAGCCCCATCTCTTTCCCCCCAGCCTCCAGACTTCCACATGAGTTTAAACAAAGAGATGGGGCTGCTTTAAAGAGTCGTCTCATTGGAAACAGCTCTTTAAGCAGCCCCATCTTTTTTCACACCGCCACATCAGCTAAAACAAGAAGATGGGGCTGCTTTAATGAGTCAGCTGATGAAAACAGCTCTTCAAGCAGCCCCATTTTTTTTCCCAGACTTGCGCCTGAGCTGCTTTGGACTTGCCGATTAACACAGCCCTATCCCCCTTTTTTTTCAGACCTCCACATGATTTTAAACAAAGAGATAGTGCTGCTTTAATGAGTCGGCTCATGAAAACAACTCTTCTAGCCACCCTGTCTGTTTTTCAGACTTGCACCTGAGCGTAAACAAAGCAATGGGGCTGCTTTAATGAGTCTCTTTTCAGCCTTCTACATCAACTTAAACAAAGGGATGGGGCTGTTTTAATGAGTCAGCTATTGAAAACAACTCTTCAGGCAGCCTATCTTTTTTCAGAGTTGCTTTCGGAAAGCTTAAAAAAAGAAGAGACGGTTGCTTTCAGAAGCAGCTGGGAGGTGCTATGCTCGCATAAAGTCTGAGGCATTCCTTCTGAATCATTCAGCTTTAGTTTTATGGTAGCTGGAGTTAGGGATTTGTCCTTCCCATCTGTTAGATTTTTGCAAGATAGCAAGCCCCTATTAACCATGATATTTTTGGCTTTTAGGTAGGGCTGCTAAGTAAGAGACCAGAAGTTCCAAAACCCAGAGCCCAGTTTACTAAACAATGTTGTTTTTGTCAGAAAGAAGACAGAACATGTCCTACACAATATCTGTAAATGATTTTTTTCTGCCCGACCCCAAAAAACCTCTTGGAATGATCTCGAATTGGCTGGAAATAACCTCGAATGGGCAATGAATGCAGAGCTGTGATTGAGGAGTATTGTCAGTACACTCTGATCCTAGATGACAAACGGCTGAGTTAGTAGGTTTGTGGAAGCTCAGTCTGGAGAAACATTTATTTAGCATGTTTGTATGTTACAAGGCTTTCCAAGTTGGTCAAGCCAGACTACACTAAAGTTGATACAATGGGAATTCAAGGGGCAGGTGGAACATACGAAGTAAATCAATTTTAGAGCACTAATAAAAATGGAAAAGTAGATTTTAAAGTGAAAACCAACCAATTACTCTACTGTAATTACTGTAATTAAGTTCTGCAGTTTTTATTTATGATGAATTATTCAATACAATGAAATGCAAACAAGCACACACAGACCACATCCATCAGATGCGATCTTTAACCATCAACTAAGATCAGTGTTTCCCAAACTTGACAATTTTAAGGCATGAGGACTTCAACTCCCAGAATTCCACAGCCAGCGTTGCTGGCTGTGGAATTCTGGGAGTTGAAGTCCTCATGCCTTAAAATTGTCAAGTTTGGGAAACACTGACTAAGATGATTAAGGCTCTGGAGACTACAACATATGAAGAACAGGTGCAGGATTTGGGAATGGCTAGTCTAGAGAAAAGAAGGACTACAGGAGACATGATAGCAGCGTTCCAGTATTTGAGGGCCTGCCACAAAGAAGGGGGGGGAGTGTCAATTTATTTCAAAAGTACCTGAGGGCAGAACAAGATACAATTGGATGGAAACTAATCAAGGAGAGAAACAACAGGGAATTAAGGAGAAACTTCCTAACAGTGAGAATAATTAACCAGTGGAACAGCTTGCCACCAGAGGTTGTAGGTGCTCCATCACTGGAGGATTTTAAGAAGAGATTGGACATGCATTTGTTGAAATGGTAATGTAGTCCAACCCTCTGCTCTAGCGGGTGACCCTATACCTCAGGGGTCTTCAAACTTGGCCCTTTTATGACTTGTGGACTTCAACTCCCAGAATTCCTATGGGGCCATAGTTCCCCACCTCTGTCCTAGATAAAACCAGCATTTCTCAGCCTACAGGCTGGCTGAGGAATTCTGGGAGTTGAAGTCCACAAGTCATAAAAGGGACAAGTTTGAAGACCCCTGCTGTACCTCAACTTATATTATACCTCGACTTACAACCGTTCATTTAGGGACTGTTCGAAGTTACAACATCACCGAAAAAGTGACTTATGACTGTTTTTCACACTTAACAACTGCTGTAGCATCTCCATGGTCATGGGATCAAAATCCAGACCCTTGGCCAGGGGTAGGCAACCTTGGCTCTTTTATGACTTGTGGACTTCAACTCCCAGAAT